CCCACCCTTTTTTTTATTTAACTGAAACAGCTTTTAAATGGATCGAAATGGAGCTCAAATGATAAGATACTATATTTTAACCTAACCGTATCTGCCATAATCTACAACACCCTCTGTGATAACAAGGCTGGTCACATCCCTCAACTATGGTCAGAGGGCATTCACAGGAGGCTCAATCTATGTGTGGACCCTCCACATGGACTTGAACTTCCACTACTGCCCAGCAAACCAGATGTTCCTAATGTAAGCTCTGATACCATTTCCTCCTTTGGATTTGAATTACACTATTTATAATAATTGGATTATAAAGGCTGGTGTGCTTCTTCCACGTGGATTTCGTTGGCATCAAACTTCAATGCTTTTAGTGAAGAATTTAGTACGCGGAGGAAAATACACAGCTGATGGTTAAATGATATACACATTTCCTGCTTAAGATTTTTTAAAACTTTTGTGTGTGTGCCTCTGCTTTGGAACCCTAAAGCATTGTTTTACGTGTCTATTATTAAATTTTGAAAACTGGCTATATGTTTTAAATGATATCACTTTAGATTTTTTTCTCTCTCAGATATGAATCTTTTCATTCCCATGTTTCCTGTCCCTTTGAGATGTTTTCTCTGATGCGTAACATTCTTCGAAGCGAGGCCTAGGAATTCTATTTCTAGGTCTGCTACTGATCACGTTGCTTTCCATTCCGGCAGAGACATGACAGAAGTGGTTCACATCAAAGATCGAAAAGAAGTCATTCACGAGATGAAGTTCTCCCCGGACGGGTCTTACCTCGCCGTGGGATCCAACGACGGCCCCGTGGACGTCTACGCCGTCTCACAGCGGTACAAGAAAATCGGAGAGTGCGTCCAGTCTCTGAGCTTCATCACCCACATCGACTGGTCTCTGGACAGCAGATACTTGCAAACCAACGACGGGGCAGGAGAACGGCTGTTCTACAAGATGCCGTGTGAGTCGCCCGGCAGAGGGCACTTGTGAGAGCGATTTTCAACAGCGAGCATAGAGCAGTTAGCGTGCCTACTCAAGTATAAGCCGACCTGCACATCAGCCGAGGCACCTAGTTTCACCACAAAAACTGCATTTAAAAATGTGCTGAAAGACTTGGCTTATACGCGAGTGTATACGGTACTTTTCTAGAAAAACTCTACCCAAAGAGAATATAGGAGAATGTTCTTACGACTTCAGGAAGGGAGTATTTTCTGAAAACCAGACCCCCCACCCCACAAGCTCATAGGCCCCCTAGCAATCACAGCAACAGATCACAGAGCTGCGTGGGAAGAAAGACTAGTAAACCCGGGCACAATGAAATGAACCTTCACTGCCAACCACAGGGACAAGAGACCGAGAGGACCAGCCACGCCCGGGCAGAGATGCTTGCCGTTGTCCCAGCGGGGAGAACACCTGTGTGGCGTGTGGAGCATAGGGAGCAGGCCTACTGGGGCATAGACGTCCCAGGGGCAGTAGAGAAACGGGCAGTTGACAAGGCCAGCAAATGGATGAATTCGTTCCCTGGTGGATAAATAAAAGATCAGTGAGATATCACATTGAAATATTTTCATTGGCAAACTCTGTCCGCAGTCAGTGTTACGGAGAAACCCGTGCCCTGCTGTGGACTTGAGCCCACGGCTGCCTGCTGCCGCAGCACTGGTAAAAGCCTAGAAAGAAACGCGGTGTAAGTGCCTATCCGCAGCAGGGCCGCTTGATTAAACGTGCTGTCAACTTACAACGGGCAGCACTTTCAAGAAATGAAACTAGAGCGACAGTGTCAGTAGGGACAAGTCTCAAAATGCCATGCTGAGCAGAGAAAGGCCAGTTGCAGAATGAGAGTACAGTGTAAAACCGTTCAGTGCAATGCCCAGGGCACAGAAATCAATTCTGCATAGATTTTATAAACATACACGTTCTTCCTTAATGCATGGGTTTAATGAACTCTGATTTCGAGGTGCTGGCTGCTTCTAAGCAGAGAGAGGAAGGGGTGAGACCGTGGAGAAATGCCCAGTGGGTTTTAACTGTCCCTGAAGTCTCTTCTTTCAAATAGATTCTGTGGACAAAGACCAACGTTCAGGTTTGTAGCGGGCGGGTGGTGTACACTCACATCCAACACAATTGTCTATTCTTTCCTGTGCGTTTGAAGTGTTTCATCATTTTAATGTAGGAATGTCTGAAAGACGAGGAGCCTTCTGGAAGTTTGTGGGGAAACCCCCTTCTTTCTGAGTCCCATTTTCCCAGGGACTTCTTGAAGGCTCCTCATAACTGTACGGTCGACTTCTCAGGGAGTGGACGCGAATGACCTGTTGAGGCCATCATTCGAGTCTGAGACATGGGCCGTTCTGCCCCCTCTCCTCTCGCCCACCTCCGTGTTCACGATTGCACCTCTCAAAGTTTAGATGAATGCGTGATGACATGCAGAAGCGCCCTATTCCTCCTATCCCTGCGCATCTGCCGCAGGTAGAAGTAAACGAAGGCAGGTGAGCCTGGTCTCTGTGGGTGTCCACTAGCAGGACACTGGACTCCCATCGCCATCAAGATATCAAGGGGGGTTGGCGTGACAGTTTCTGCAGGTAACCAGAGTTCTGCCAGCATCCAAAAGCAACAGGGTTTTCAGTAGAAACCGAGTGTGTCCCTGAGGCACCCCCCCCCACCCCAACAGCTACCGGGCCGAGACATCACCTGCACCCCCGAGAGCACGTGCAGAGAATTCTCCGCACTCTTCCGCACTGGGTCACGTTCACTTCATCACGACTTTTGTGCAGGTTTCCCTGTCTAAAAGAATCTAAATTAAGTCTGTTCATCTGATTGATGGAACATCAATATTTAGAAGCCCCAGCCTCCTTGCTCGGACCCCTGGTGCTGTCGTGGTTACACATTCGGCAGCCAACCACAAGGTCCGCAGTTTGAACCCGTCAGCTGCTCCAGGGAGAGAGTTGCTTTCTACCCCTGTCAAGAGTTACGGTCTCAGACACCCACAGGGCAGTTCTGGTCTGTCCTGCAGGGCTGCTCAGAGTCCCGACCGGTTTGCTCTGGTTTGGAAGCCTCCTGGGATTGTGAAAGTTCGGAGTAAATCCAGCCAAATGTGTGCTCTCACGGACAACTTACAGCCTCTCTGCCAATAAAATAAAGCGCTAGTGTCTAAGTAATCAAGGCCAAGTACGCTTCTGCAGTCTGAGACAGTTTAGTACAATGATCATTCTCGCCTTTTCCATTCGGAATATGCACCTGCTTTAAGCTCTGCTGCAGCGAAAGAAAAAAAAAAAAAACCCCACTGGTGACCAGGTTCAGGGCGTGGCGTTGGCTCTGACTCAGGGCACCTGGTGGCAGCGGAGCGGAGCACTGCCCGCTCGCGGGATTAGAGCCAATGATTTCTTTGGTTTCTAGGGGTTTTTCAGCAAGTTTCTCTCTAGACATCTGTGCAATTTTAGCTTGGGATACACGGTTTTGACTTAAATGTAATATTACATTAAGATTTGTTGATTGTTTTCAGCTGGGAAGCCTTTAACAAGCACAGAGGAGATCAAAGGCATTCTCTGGGCCTCCTGGACATGTGTGAAGGGGCCTGAAGTGAGCGGGATTTGGCCAAAGTACACTGACGTCACAGATATCAACTCCGTGGATGCCAATTCCAAGAGCTCGGTGCTGGTGTCTGGAGACGACTTTGGCCTCGTGAAGCTGTTCAGGTTCCCGTGTCTCAGAAAAGGTACGGCCCGAAGAGACGCTGCTGCCGGGGTGGCCGTTGAATCTAGAATGCATATGGTGTCCCATGAAGGCAGGTCTCTTTCTATGGACCACACAGTCCATCTTGTAGGTTTGTGGCTGCTGCTGAAAGCTTCAGATTTGAGTGGGTTGCTGACCTCTGCTTTGACCGGATGTCCTGAAAGGGGGAGGGGGGGGCGTGTCAACACTTGTGACTCCAGCACCCGCCAAATACTCATACCCTAAATCAGGGGTCCTCAAGCTTTTTAAACTTCTTTGCGCCAACGAGGAGCACCTTATGCTGCACACGAGCTTGAAGACCTGTCTTCGCTCTCCGGGGTCAGACGTAGAACTATTTCCCGGTGAACCATGTGATACCAACTGACCTTGCTGTCCCCGAGATGATGATCCTGAACCCCCAAGCCTCACAAGCCCTGGTGCTTGGTGACAGTTAAGATGTTTTCATCACTTTGAGCCCCGTAAACTTTATTCAGTCACAGATATCTGCACAGCATAGGTAAATAGACACACCTGTAGCGCTGTCCTCCCCCTCGCTCCCACACCTACATGCGTGTGCCTGCATCGACTGTAAGTCACAGTCACTGTAGGATTGCCTACCCCAGTGGTTCTCAACCTGTGGGCCTCGACCCCTTTGAGGGCCGAACGACCCTTTCACAGGGGTCACCTAAGACCACTGGAAAACATATTTCCTGTGGTCTTAGGAACCGAGACACCGCTCCTCTATCCAT